TTCCCTATGGGAAGTACTGCATTTCTATTTTTAAGATTCAGTTAGCTAGGCCCTGTAAAGCAAGATGAGGGGGGTTTTCTTCAAGGGGTTTGCAGAAGTAGATGACTCCCTTGAGCTTCAGTATAAAGCTGGCCACACACCGATAGATTATCTGCAGATTTTCTATGGTCAGATGGAAAAAGTGCAACAGATTCCTCCATCTACGCTAAACTGTGTGGATGGAGGAATCTCCCACTGGGCCAAGCTTCAGTATGTTGCTAGTCGGCCACGCTGGCTCTCAAATTACTAGCATCCAATCAGATTGTTCAGGTATTTTGAGAGCCAGTGGGGCCGACTAGCAAGATACTGAAGCTTGGCCCAGTGGGAGATTCCTCCATCCACACAGTTTAGCGTAGATGGAGGAATCTGTTGCACTTTTTCCATCTGACCATAGAAAATCTGCAGATAATCTATAGGTGTATGGCCAGCTTAAGGGAATCCCAAGCAGATTGTCAATTGAAGTGCACCTGTTGGCAGCCTATTGCTGATGTCACACTGGTGATCCTGCTGCTACAAACACACTACTGGTGCCAGAAATGAACTTGCTAGCAAGGGAGCGGCAATGGAGCAAAATCTAGCTAGTCCAACCAGAGAGGGAATGATCCCAAAGAAAAAAGTGGTCTTCTAGGCAATCCAAGTTGTCAATGGGGACGATTACTTGCCCCAGAGTATAGAAACACTGGTGTGGTGGCAATAAGCTGTGCCTTCACATACCTTCAGATGTTGTGTAATGCGACGCCCAAATCTGCAGGTGTTGCAATCTGCAAGGTTTGACACTTTATGGTGATGTTGACTGTTAGTTCTGCCCGTTCAGTATGTTCCTATTGACCCATTACTGCAATGGGCAGTGCTCCTGGCTCATGGAACATGATAAGGAGAAGGGCCAATGATCAACATGAATGGAAGTGTCAAACCTTGTAGGTTGGAATTTAAATCTCCCAGGCTGCAAAGAAGACTTGTGCTGGAGCCTCTTCATTACCCTTTGAGCAAAATTCAAAATGAAATGTTTTTGCCTTTGCAAAGCATGAAAGCTTTACAAGTCTGCAAACTGCCTCCAGTATATGAACATCAACTACAGTTCACATTTGTTGTGTTGTACAGCCAAAAAAAGACTATTTTGTGACCTTCTTGAGCCAGCAAAGGTTTATATTGCGTATATATTGTGTAACATTTCTGCATATCCAAACCCAATCATAGGTTCTGCTTTGCAACACTGGTACAAAAATGTATTTAATGCTTAGACAAGTAAACTTCGGCTGAAAATATATTTTCATATTTCTGGTCACAAAGCATTGGGCTTTTTCAGTAAGGCAAAAAAACTGCGTACGTTCGCACCTCTTTTTTTCACTTTGCTTTATTGAATAAACCTAAGGTCTTTATAAATGCATGACAAAAGCCTTGCTCATGGTCTGTACGAGACAACGTATATTAATATGCAGCGTCCATGATACAATATTAGTGCTGCATACTGCTCACTTTATGTGAAATAATGTGGAGACATTTGTGAGCCAATAACCTGGGGGTGGAGGGGGGTGATTTGTACATATACTGGCTGATAATACTATTAGCCTGTACATTTCATGTATAAAAACATTCCAAGTGACATATGTGCAATATGTAAATAGATGTAAATATAAACACAAAATAAAGTGTTTGCAATATACGCAGACTTGTGTTGTTGTTGATGTCATCACAGTGTTATCCTATTGAAGCAGAATTCCACACATTTTTAAAACATTTTGGTTGCATAGGACAGAATATGATCCTACTCTAAATCTTAATTCCCATCTATTACTCCAGTGGGCAGATTACCCCTTCCCCTTAAAAACCAGGGTTCTGCTGTGTGTTAGAATGGCCTTCTCTGGAGTGAATATATTCCCAGTGACACCACCGTGCCATTCTCTATAAGAATAAGCGGAGAATGCATTCCCAACCATAAATATCCTACAGGGGAGCTCTGGATGGTCCAAAAGACCAGAAAGTTCATCTTACAATGGAACATACAGAGAAGGATTTGGGGGTCATTATAGGCCGCAGATTGAAGAACAGCTCGCAGTGCCAGGCTGCTGTAAACAAAGCTGGCAGAGTCCTGTCTTGCATTAAGAAGGGGATGTATTGCAGAGACAAGTCTATAATTTGCCTCTTTACAGATCACTGGTTCGGCCACATCTGGCGTATGCGGTCCAGTTTTGGTCACCAGTACTCAGAAAAGATGTCCTTGAGCTGGAAAAAGTCCGGCAGAGAGCAACCAAACTCATTAAGGGGTTCGAGGATCTGAGCTATGAAACAAGGCTGTTAAAATGAAATATGTTCTCGTTGGAGGTTAGGAGATTAAGGGGGGGACATGATTTTCCTGTATAAACTATTCAAGGGTGACAGCAACCTTAGTAACAAACTGTTTACGGTTAGCTCCGTAACAAGACCAGAGGGCACAACCAAAAATTGGTGGGAAAAAAAATTCAACACACAGGGCGCAGGGAGTTCTTAGTAAGAGCGGTTAAGGTCTGGAACTCGCTGCCACAGGAAGTGATTTCAGCTAAGAGTGTGGAATCATTCAAGAAACTCCTGGAAGAGTTCCTTGGAGACCATAATATACAGGGGTACAGGTACGCCTAAGAGCAAAATCATACATGGACCAATACACACTCACACATCAACTCAAACATAAATGCACACACACAATAGGTTGGACTTGATGGACTTATGTCTTTATTCAACCTCAAAAACTATGTAACCCTGGATTGTCCAGCAGACCAAAAAGGTAATCTTATATTGGAGTCCTGGCTGGTGCAGACCAAAAAAAGTACCTTATAGGGTAGCCCTGAATGGTCCAGCAGACCAAAAAGTTTATCCTATAGGGGAGCCCTGGGTGGTTCAGCAGACCAGAAGGTTCATCTTACAGGATAGTCCAGCAGACCAGAAATGTTATCTTATATTGGAGCCCTGGATGGTCCAGCAGACCAGAAAATGTACCTTATAGCCCTTGACTGCATAACTGTCACTGAGGGGCAAAACACAGACCCAACATTAGCCAACAACATAGCTTCAATGTGTATATCAGTGTAGTCTATTTTGGTCCATTAGGGATATTATTAAAAGTGTTATTTGTTCAGCAAGTGCAAAAAAAATTCCCAGCACACTTACCACCTAGCTTGCAAAAAAAGAAAAATTACACTAACAACTTGAGCTCGAAACAGGGTTTAATTGTACGACTTTTCCAAAATATGTGGAAGTCACATTGCCTCACCAAGACCCTTCTGCGAAGTGTGGTCCTTTCTATGAGAGCCTCCATAGCAAAGTACAAATTGGGTGCAGGTACGCCTGGAGGTAGCCCATTCCTCTTCAAAGGCGCAGGGACACACCCGGTGCCCAGCACATCACAAAGGCAGCTGAAGGCTCCAATATGTCCCAGCACCAAATCCAACAAGTGAAGCAAATGGTGAGCGCACTCTTCAATTTAGAGCTAGCTTTTAAAGTAAGGTGCACATGAAAGGGCTTTACACAGTACAAACATTTACCAGCTAGCCTGCAAAAATAAATAATTATTATTATTACACTATTAGTGTTAAAGACAGAGGTTTTAGTTGAACAATTTTTGCTAAATATGTGGAAGCCATCTTGTATCACGTTCACTATGTGTGTTATCTTAAGGAGTTGTGAAGAAGAGGAGAGCAGGTGGTGATCCGTAGTTTATAAAAACACAATTGGGCAGGGCTGACACCATTCTTTGCAATTTCATTTCTGCCAACAGCAGGGAAATAGGAGCAGTGTGCATTTCTACTAGAATCAACAGGTATTTTTCTGTATTTGTAGAGGGATAAGACATGGATAAATGTTTCTGCATTGCAGAGATATTCAGCATTTTCTAGCCCTGATAGAAGTAAAAACAAATCTTTACCATACAGAAAAACCGTGCTGATCTGTTAATTGCTGGCACAAGATTCCGTTCTGTGCATTCTGCTGCTGAAGAACAATACTACAAGTACACTGGCCAGACGCAGCCAACCCACCTTGCTTCCTTCTAGGACTTCTCACTACCGCTGATTGCAATAACAGAAGGCAGACGGCTTCACATCTTGGTGCTGTACCATATGACTTCACAATAGTGGTCAACTGACAAGGAGGTTCTCAGTCCATGCTCTGATCATAAAACAGTACGGGGGGGTTATGACAGAGGTGCTCAAACACAAGTCAACATTTAATACAATTCCATCAATCAAAAAAATAGACTTTTTCATGGTTTTATTTACATGTGATCACTGGAAAAAGGGGCTGATGCAGATTTAGGGCGCGTTCACACATACTGCAGTCACCTGTGTTGTACTGCATTGGATCAAGGACACATAGAAATCAACTGTTTTCTGTGTCCGTATGACACAATGCAGGTGTGATGGGCAGTTTGCCACATGGCAGCACGCTGCTGTGTAGAGAGAGGGAGGAGACATGCATACATACATACATACACACCAAACAGTAACAGCTCCAGCAGTGTGGGATACAATGCCAGAGCTGCCACAAGCCACTAGCCTGTTTGCTGAAACACTGTTTTAGCAGACTGGCCAATGTGTACAGGGGCCCTTACTGTTCAATGAACAAGCTTGAGACAAAGAGGTCGTAAAGTAGTCACCGCTCCAAGCTCGCTCCTGTGATGGACTACAATGCCAATAAAAATTAGTAAATTAACATGATTGTAGTCCATTATAGGAGTGATCTTGGGAGTGGTGGCTACTCTACAACACACACAGGGACCATGGGGAACAAAAGTAGCCCCCCTCCAGAAGGAATGACAGTGTCACTACCAATTCAGAGATGATTTGAGGATCTACAGCTGAGTGATACACACATAACGCACAGCTTTGATAATAGTGAAGATATTTGAATGCATTTTTAAGTTTTAACTGCTGAGTTTAGTATCACTTTAATGCTTACAGAGGCACGCACAGCCGGCAAGCAACGACATAGGTAGATTAAAATGGACTTTATTTCGTGATTTGGCATTAAACAAGTTTTTGATTCCGTGTAGTACACTTTATTTTCTTTATTAGCATACTATTTCTGAAACAAAGAAGTAGGACATAAAATACTTCAACGTTGTTGTATAAATGGAACATCCGGCCTTGCTGCATAGTAAAATACAAGACTAAAAGGTTAATGTGCGATCAGAACAGATACATCTTAAACTATCACGACTGGTGAGTGGTACTAGGAACACTTCTCTAAAAATGATTTACAGCATCGAACACACTGCTGGTAGACGGTCTCAAAGTCTTCATCGCTGCCCTGGAAAAGATAGAGACACAAGATGATCACATACAGGAACATGACGACCGCATACTAAAAATGAGATAGAATTATTTGAATGAAAGGCATAGTCCAAACTTTGCATACAAAAAAATAAATAAAATAATATAGGATATGTTGGCATTGGAGCGAGTAAAGCATTACAATGGTGATCAGTGGATTATGGGCGCAATGCACAGGCCCCTGTAAACTCTTCCTCCCAATGTTGTCCATACCAAGGTACAGACTATTAGGTTACAGGACTGCTCCATTAAGAACTACTACGGTAGCAGACAGGACTTGTCTACTCATTCACAGATCCAGATTTAAAAAAAGATTCAGCAGGGAGAACAACCTTGGGATTTGTTACACCCTGAATATGGGTGAAACATGGTCAGAACGAGGGAGCTACTCTTAAATGTCCCAAATGCCTGCTTCAGGTTAGTTATCACTGTGCACCATCTGACTTCTCAAGTACTGTACAATATGTAGCGAAAGGGATAATATACTATATACAGACAAAAATCTTCAAAACATTTTGAATTACTATAAATATGTACTTGGGAGAAGCCAACTCCTGATGTGAATATTTGTTCCAGGTCAGCGACTTAAAACAGTCTGAAGACATACTATACTAAGAGTCTCAAGCCCGTGACACACTGCATGCGAAGCCATGCAGAGCGAAGTACAGCTGTCAGGTATAGAGCTTTGCATGCAGTGTGTGTGCGCTGAGTGCATCTTCAGCCAATCGGCTCACGCGCAACAACCAAACGGACTTTGCGGGGGTTTGTACACGGGAGACGATTGGCTGAATATAGAACTTTTCATCATGGCACGCTCAGCTATGCAAGCTCACGCAAGCTGACGTGCCGGAGAGAAAATGACATGACACACTGCACGCGAAGGCAGCGCGCCACCGCTCCACACTGGTTCGCGTGCAGTGTGCCACAGCCTTCAGAGCTGAACTAGCACCAGTTTTGGAAAGAGGTCAGCAACAGCAGCCGATTTTTCATGTTTGAGCGTTTTTAATTTACAGACAAGACTCTTGAAAGTTTATAAAAGTTGTGGAAGGGTTAAAAACGCTGTTGGAAATGTATTGCTCTCTGGCTCCCCACTAGAGGGGAATTAATCTCACTTCCTGTTCTGATAATTATGGTCTCTGGGAAAGCATGTATACTTTTTCAGGTCCCCTTTAAACCCTTCGTGACTGACGCCGTACAGTGTACGTCACTGTCATCGGGGCTCTTTAAACAGACTCCCGGCGCTCAGTTGGCTTTACAATAGAAGCGATTCTAGCGACTCAGCTGTCGCCAGATCGCTTCTATGGCCCGTTGAAGGGGTGTCCCCCGCCGTGCTTCCCGGGATCCATTGCCACTCTTACGGGCCCGGCTTCTCTCGTGTCGGCAGGGGGCTGGGGAGGAGATGGATGAACCTCCGTACGTTGATCCTCTCCCCGTTCTATGGGACCGGGAGCGATGCAGATTGCATCACTTGCAGTCCCTTAGCTGTCAGTGCTGAGCTCCTGAAGCCCAGCTATAAGCTACTGAAGTGCGATCTGCACTTAAATAGCTTATCTGGAGTGTAAAGGTGACACTATGGGTCTTTTGGACCCCCAGAATCAACTTAAAAAGAGTACCTGTCACCACCATCTGCTATCACATGGGGGGGCTTGCAAGCCCCCCTATGTGATAGCAATCAAAATAAAAAAGTGTTTTTAAAATAAATCTATAAATAAAAAAAAAAAAATGAAAGGCCCCGCCCCCGTGAGTCGCCACGCAAACACGTGTCGCGTGCGCCAACATATGAAAGCAACAAACACGCTGCACATGTTGGGTATCGCCGCACACGCTGGAGTGAGAGCAAAAATTCTAGGGCATCTCTAAAGTGATGACTTGTGGGGGCTTTTAAAGCATCGCCTATGGACATTTTGGCATACTAAAGTTTATCACGGACGCACACAATTTTTAACCTGGGCATGTTTGGTATCTATTTACTGGTTGTAACCTCATATTTTATATTTAATTAAAACAATTGGCATTTTGTGTTTTAGGGCATTCACTAAATTTTGGGGTTTGATAAGGAGTTGCGATAATGTCGTGCAACATAAAAATTTGCAACTGCCAACATATTAGTCTATAGGGTCTTGGCTTTCAGAAAATATATAATGTTGGGGGGTTTGAAGTAATTTTCAGGCCTAAAACGTAGAATATAACATGGGTGCAAAAAATGAAAAAAAAAAAAGGCCTCAGTCATGAAGGGGTTAAGGAGATTTTCCTTCAACTCCTGTCTTAGTGACCACCATCACAGCTAGCGAGGGAATAACTCTCCACTGGTGACATTAACAGCACTAAAACCACAACAAGCGGTTCTAAGCCTTCATCACAGTTTTGGTTGGAATTCCACTTTAAAATAAAGCAAGCTGAGAGCTCGAAAAGCAGACACCACCAAGTACCTCCATATACCTCAAGATTCTGGAAACCGACCACTCAGTGCCCCCGCATAACACCCCCCCACCCCCAACTCAGTCGTGTCATACTCCTGGTTTTCAGAAAATATGTTGCATTGCATAACGCTACAACCTTTTGCTGACGACGCACTGCACCGTGGGATGCACAAACATCTCAATGTAAACTTTAAACCGTCAGAAAAGTTGTTGCATTAAAAGGAGAACTATGGAGTTAAGGCTTTTCCCCATAGTTCTCCTTAGGGTAACGGGAGGACACAAACTAGCGTCCTCCCGTCACCCTAGGCTCAGTATACCGCGTGCTGTAGCTCGCGGTATACTGAGACGCCGCAGCGGATCCTGACAACTGTGCCGGGATCCACCCAGCTGCGTGAGTGACAGCTGGCTCTGCCTATCTAGAGGCAGAGCCAGCTGTACCCGCCCCCTCCCCCATCCGTTCCGCCAGTCAGCGCTAGCAGAGCGGGGAGGGGGGAATCCAGCCCCTCCCCCTGTCACGGCAGAGAGCCGTGACAGGATCGAGAGGTGAGCGAACGCCGGTATGTGTTCGCTCACTTCTTGATCTACTGAGCCGACCTGCGACAGTCTGATTGTCACAGGTCGGCTAGAATTATGAGGTGAGTGAAAAGCACTCACCTCGTAGTTCTCCTTTAAGGTTGAATACCAAGGTGCACTGCAATAGGAAACTTCAAAAACTTGCTACTTGATACAGGGAAGCCTTTAACCTTCCTGGCGGTAATCCAGAGCGTGGCTCGGGGGTAAATTTCTCGGGTGTCGGCAGGGAGCTGGGGAGGAGATGTATGAACCTCAGTTCGTCGATCCTTTCCCCATTCTATGGGACCGGGAGCGATGCAGATTGCATCACTTCAGAGTTTGCTACTTGACACAGGGAAGCCTTTAACAGCTTGGTGGCTCTGTGGTTTGGGCAAGTATAACTATATTTCTCCCTTGAGCAAAACAAGCAGTATTCCCACTGCAAGGGTTAACAAAAATGTTGCCTGCAGTTGTCCTTTTAAAATCTATCTAAGCCAGAAAACATGAATGTAATCAACTGAAGTTTACCAGTCCTTGGGTAGGTAGACCTTTCCCCCCCCCCTTTATTTTAATCTGGTGATCCTGCTAGTAACACTTCTTGTCCAACAGTATCTACGGAGGAGCAGCATTGTCAGCCTAGGACAGGAAGTGCATTAGGATGAAAGTGGAAAGCAGAAATTACCAGCACCCAGCATACAGTAAATATCTTTGATGTCCATTTAATCGGACCAATCGTCATGTCACAAAATAGCGACGTTTCGGGACCGCAGAGGATCCCTTCATCAGGGCGACAATGTAACAAGCTTAGACATCAAAGATATTTACCGAGTGCTGGTGATTTCTGCTTTCCATTGTTTGTTGCACGGTGCCATCCGTGATGGTCACTGCGAGCACCACTACAAGTACTTGGGCCGGGAGCTCTGTGAGGAGTGCAGAGGGACTTACTACTTTCTGTATTAGGATTAAAGAACATCTCCCCCTCCCGTTTACAGCACACTTACATAATATGGATCTTCAATAATGAGCCGCTTCTGAGGATCGTAGCTGCCAAGCAGTTCAATTTTAGCTTTGCAGTTCTGTACTTGACCACATTTACGTTTTAGTTCTCTGAAAGACAAAACAAAATATGAAAAAAATTATTGGCTGTATTAGTATTGATTACATAAAAACACTTTGCCCCTAAATTTCCCCTAAAAATGAAGGGCCAGAGCCCCATGGGTAAGCTGGACTTCTTACACATATTCAAGGGGGTTGAGAAACGCTTCTCCAGGGGGAGGAGAGCCTGCGTTCCAACTGCATGGATTATAATGCACAAATGAAGTATTTTCTGTGCAGTTTGCCCATGATACTATTCACTTGTATGAATGACATCAATGGCAAGCAGGATATGACGGGGGCAAGACCAGTAACACCAAATTATATTATACCAAATATTAGGAGGCCCTTTTATAACTCTTCCACGCAGCCATACGATGGGCAAATGCAGTTTTCATGGCATTTTCTCCACTAGATGGAGCCGAGGAGCATAGCACATTCCCTTTAGCCCAATGGCCCAAATTGTGAGGTCGTTTGTGCTGCTGCAGTGTGAATAGGGCCTATTCATTAAAGCCAAAAGGGTTTTAAGCTATTCCAATTTCTGATCACTTACAATGGATGATGCTCCTTGATGTTGAAAAGTTTTAGTTTGTTGCAGAATCAACTGGTTCGCTGAGCACTTCCCTGACATCTTGTTTTAGGGCGACTCCTTGCTCAAGCAGAGCTCTATGGAGTCACCCTTGTGTGTGCTAGTAAGCTGTGTCTCCACAAATACATAGGGACAGCAAAGCATTCCACTCCCCTACCCTCTGGCCCCCTCCTCCAAGCTAGATGAACCGTTGCTGGAGATTGTGCTGCCTCTTGTGATCTTGTACTGGGCAGGAAGTTCAGAGAAGCTGATCTTGTACTGGACAGGAAGTACAGAGAAGCTGAGAGACTTGGAAGTAGCTGTTGAGAAACTAAATATGCTACGCTTAAAAATTGCAGTGAAACACGCAAGAAGTTACGGTGCCCCAAATTGACCACAGGCGACACTTAAAAAGCCTGCACAGTTTATCAGTTTAGAATTACCGCTGAAAATTGGCCCTAGAATTATTGCTCTCACTCAGGCGCACATGTCGATACCCAAGGTGTGTCACAATCGTCGTTTTAGTAAGTAGGCGCACCAGACACGTGTGTCCTTATTTGCGTGTGCATGGGGACAGGGGAAATCTACAAAAACATTTTTGGGTGTTTTTAAAATTTTTGTTTTTTTCATTGCCATCGCATAGGGGCCTCACTCACTGTAATCGCTTCCAGTGTAAAGCCACCAGTCAGCTTTAGGTCTCGTTCACACCTAGGCGTATTGCATATGCACGTCTGTCGCGCGTTTTTTACCGTGATTCGCAATAAAAAAGTCATGCGACAAAACGCGCGTTTCCGAAGGCTACTTGGCTGTATCCCAATGGAAACGCGCAACAAAACGGCCCAAAGTAGTACCTGTACCTTTTCAGGCGTGGGTCGTTTTGGAGCGCGTTAGGGATGGTCGGAAATACGCCAAGGTGGGAACGAGACCATTGAATACAATGGGATTTATATTTTTGAGCGTTTTGTAGAGCGTTAGTCGAGTGTAGAACGCCCTACAAAACGTTCAGGTGTGAACGAGGGCTAACACAAGTAAACATCAGTGGCAGTAAAAGGATTAAATGTACAGGACCTACAGCTGTCATCCGGATCCTGTCTTCACTACATAATCCATGGACAGAACAAGCATATATCCAGTTAAAATCTGAGCAGTCAGCATTCCATATTCTGCAGATCTCTTCTGCGTTAATTACTAAAGAGCCAAGTCAGGATCAGAACAGCCTGGCAGTTCCTCTATGTCCTCAGAATCATAGGAAGTCCATTAACCCTTTCGCTGCCATTGACTTGCGTCATACAATCGGCAGCAGGGTGGCCCTGCAACACAGCAGTTGGGAGCCTGTTTGCTGTTGGCTTCACACTGGAAGCGATAAATTACTCAGGTTGCAAAGCATGACACCTTCCACCGTATTCCCTGGGCTCTGCTGCCCCTCCTGCATGCCCAGAATTTGGCATTGTGGGTGTTGGCAGCGGGAGGGGAGAAAGACCAGTAAACATGCGTCTACTGATCTCCTCCCTACTGAATGAACCAGGAATGGATGATGAGGTTGTCACTTCCAGTTTCTGGGCCATCACTTCCCGACCAAGAGACTGATAAAGCAGGATGTGAACGGGCCCTCAGCAATCTCCTGAGAACTTTAAGGACAATGTTAGTAAAAACAAAACAGCCTAAGGCCCCATTCACACTGAGCGACATGAAAATCGCGCGACTGAGCGATATTGCGCGACGAGCGATATTGAGCGGCGTATCGCGCAACTTTTTCCTATTGAGCTGTATGCAATCAGGAGCAATATCGCTCAAAATCGCTCGAAAAAAGGGTCATGTAGGAGCGACGAGCTACAAGCGATATTGAGCGACAAGATGTGAACAGCTCCATTGAAATGGATTGGAGAAGCTACATCGAGCGATATCGCGTGGAAATATGAGCGATATCGCTGCAAAAATCGCTCAGTGTGAATGGGGCCTAAACTAAATGAAACAAACAATGACCATGGGAAATGAATGAAACACTTACTAACCTGAGATTACTTTCATCCATGCATAAAATATAGTCATAGGACATGAAATCTTCTTTGGTGATCTGAAATTAAATCATTAATTAGTCATTACTGCACTTACACACCTTACAGACAACTTTCTTAGTAAAATATCGATGGTCAGTCCGCATCGTTGGCCAGATGCATACATACCGGATTTTGGTAAGTACGCATCTGTGGAGAAGGAAAGTGGCCTCCGAGAGGTCAGGGGATGGGGGCAAAAAGAGAAAGTGCACTTCTCTTTCAGATCAACCCTCAATATTGTGAATGATCAACTGTTGGGACCTCGAGCTACCCCTAAACTAGGAAATATTGAACTCTGCCACACATCACAGATTATTCATGAATAGTAGAGGAAGACTGAGTCCCAAAAAGCACCCAATTAGCACTAAATCTACAATAGTATAGCAACCAATGCTCAGATTCATCACATGACTTGCAAATTCTGCGTGCATTTGAGAAGTCAGAGCTTGTTCATACACTACATGAGATTCAGGAAGCACATCTAAGTGCAATGAAATCGCTTCCATATGAGGCATTGAGGAAGATTTACTGCAGGAGTTCAGAATATTCACACAAATGATGTGAATGTTCAATCAAATCTTGTGAAAAGCAAATTCCTTTTTAATCTTTTAGTTTGCACACAACTTGGTACTCAAAGTAAACAGAAATTGGCTTTTTACTTAGATAACTCAAGTGAATGTACACACAATTTGTTGTGTGAAGAGTCTCAACTCCTTTAGTAAATCATCCTTTTTGGATCCATTACCCATGTGTGCAAGCGGTTTTAAAAAAAAGAATGCAAGCATCTCCACAGCATTGCCTATTATGTGCTTAGCCACCTTTAAAAAGATCAACAGGACTCAATGTCAATTAATTTTGGCATCATTAGAAAGTCAGAAGTCACGGAACACAAAGATCTAAGGCCCCAGTCACACTGAGCGGATAGCAAATTGCACGTTTGTCATTTTGCACGATATCACGTAAATGATTGCATTGGACTGAGTGCAATCGCGTGACATCCGCAGTAAAAAGGGGTCCTGTGACAGCGACAAGCACAGCTCCATTGACTTGCATTGGGGAGCAACACCGCGCGGATAATATGCGCGATAAATCGCTCAGTGTGAATGGGGCCTAAAGATGGTGAGGGGGGGCCTTTATGTAGCATCAGTAGGAGAAAGGAACTGTAAGGCTTTTTAGTGTTTAAGTGTTCTAAATATTCTCACCATACATAGCAAACAGTCAGCATCCAACTGCCAATTAGGTATTGAAGATTAAAACCATTGTAAAGAATGTGATTGGTTGTGACAACCGGAACAAATCTACAGGTACAATTATGAAAGAGAATACAAGAGTAGAGACTGCCCAGTGACAGAATCCAGAACCGTGGGACAGAAAGCCATAACAAGTTGGTGAAGGTGAAAGGTCAAGGTCTTAACGCCACAAACTCAAAAATAAAGTACACTGTCCTATACCTGCCGTGCTTTATGCGATGTTTCAGTATTGTGGCTTTGTAAGCACTTTATGGCCCTTGAATCTGGGGAGCAACCCACGTTCCAGTCAGATGTGGCAGCGCCGTCTATGGACCACTGCAACACAAAACATAATGGATAGGATTCAATAACAGAAAATGGAGGTACATTACCTGCCTGGCTGTGTGACTCATTGGAATGCCGTGCTTCCTCATGCAGCTCTGGCCCCGATGATCAGGCGGGTTTCCTATTTCATAGGTAGATGTGGCTGCGCTGTCTATGTTCCACTAGAACAGAAAGACACAGGGTCTATTGCTTGAGAACATTTCTTTCCTTATATTCATTCTGAACTCAGGGACCAAGAAGAGCCATTCATTCCGTTTTCTGTAAGAGCTGCACACGTCATTATAGGCCCCACTTCTATTTGGTCAATCTCTACACATCGGACAACGCAAGAGAGCCACCACTAGTCACATACCGTTTAGATACTGAGAAATCATGTGTCCCTACCTAAAGTTCTTTCACTATGAAATCTAACTGTTTTCCCTCCAAGCTGTAGTGTCACGGGTTGAGAGCAACCTCCATCAGCTTTATACTAAACTGACATCAGCAGGGACAAGAAAAGGGCAGTGCATTAAAGTGACACTAAACTCTGGAGTTAAACTGAAGATACATTTTTGTTAATAGTTAGGTTACTGGAATGTATCTTATTTGTGTATCACTCGGCTGTAGATAATCAAATCATCTCTGAATTGGTGTTGACACTGCCCTTCCTTCTGGGGGGTGGCTACATTACTTCTGCATGGACCCGGTGTGTGTTGTAAAGTAGCCACCGCTCCAAGTTTGCTATTCATAGTTTTCCACCTATCATAAGTGAACACTATTCCGTTTTCTGTAAGAGCTGCACACGTCATTATAGGCCCCACTTCTATTTGGTCAATCTCTACACATCGGACAACGCAAGAGAGCCACCACTAGTCACATACCGTTTAGATACTGAGAAATCATGTGTCCCTACCTAAAGTTCTTTCACTATGAAATCTAACTGTTTTCCCTCCAAGCTGTAGTGTCACGGGTTGAGAGCAACCTCCATCAGCTTTATACTAAACTGACATCAGCAGGGACAAGAAAAGGGCAGTGCATTAAAGTGACACTAAACTCTGGAGTTAAACTGAAGATACATTTTTGTTAATAGTTAGGTTACTGGAATGTATCTTATTTGTGTATCACTCGGCTGTAGATAATCAAATCATCTCTGAATTGGTGCTGAAACTGTCCTTCCTTCTGGGGGGTGGCTACATTACTTCCGCATGGTCCCGGTGTGTGTTGTAAAGTAGTCACCGCTCCAAGTTTGCTATTCATAGTTTTCCACCTATCATAAGTGAACACACACACACGAACGTATTTACAGTAGGAGCTCAGATCTACATTGATAAGACATTGTTTGCAGTTCCCACCATGAATTCTATTCACTTTAAGGTGTTGCAGCATTATAAAAGTATGCAAGGGTAAATGTAAAAACAAAAAAATTATATTCTACACAAACTGACCAACATTTATAAATATTGGAGCAAAGCTTTATGGCGGTGTACTCTACCGTGATAGACAAGCAATACACTTCTATGACTCACTAGGAGAGCGCACACAGCACAAAGCTGCCCAAACACTATTATTTTCTTTTGTTCCAACCCACGTGCCGAACAAAGAAAATATAACAGATTCCTCCATCAATGCTTAAGAGTGCTGATCAAGGAATCACCCACTGTTTGGCCGCGGCTGCTGTCAGAATACCAGAAGAGAGCCTGCAGCTGATTGGCTGCTGGCTCTGTTCAGTTGCAGATTTTCCAACCGGCTACTTTGATCAGCTGATTGAGCGATGCCGGCCGAATGGGTGCCGGTGTTCTAACAGATACTCGGACTTCGTTAGAGATACGGATCGCGGCCGCGCAGGAGAGGTGATTTGGTCCAGAAATTTCACTGGCTATTATTGCCTGTATTGCGCATGTGCTGGGAAGCGCGTCTATATAAATTTACAGGCAAGGCACCGCGCTTCCCAGCACATATGCAATTGCCAGTGAAATTTGTGGACCCGATCAGTAGGTCTGAGCATGCACGTAAAGCTGATGCCCCCTCCACAGATCAGCGGCTCAGAGCTTGGGTGTGCAGTCAACGCCCCTCCATGCCCCGCAGGTCCAAATTTCTACCAGATCTCCGAGGCCACTGTGTGAATGTCGGCCAGTTCATCAAGAAAACGCCTGAAATTTGCGTACTGTATGGCCAGCTTTACATACACTGACCACATGAAGTGAGGTCTAGAACACAACGTAAACACCAAATTGGACCTGATATTTTGCAAATGGTTACATGCAAGCTATTAGACCCAATGAGTTTGTAAAAGATTAGGATGAAAGCAGCAATGAATTACAGTAGCCAAATAATCTTCAAGCACTTAGAAGAAAACCATATCCGAGTGCCAAAACCTGCTACCAGATACGTCATGACAACAATCATATCTTCAACACCGGGTTATTATTTATTTGGCAACAGTCTTTATGTATAAAGATGGCAGAATAGTGACAATGTCAGAAAGAAGCAGAAAAAAAGTCTAGCAACAGTTGGCACTTGTGGTACAGCGATATAGTGCATAGAGGACGACTACATTCGGCTGGCAACTTAATCCTCTTGTCCCATTGCACTACTGAATGGAAAAAAACCCAAATCCAACTGCGTGGGTGCGGTAGTGACAACGGATGCCTCTGTGAAATGTAGAGAGATGAAAGTAGTCACTCGCACTCCATGATAATAAAGTAAATGCTGTTTATTGACTGAGATAACACACATCTCCTTAGCGACGTTTCGCGGCCATGCGGCCCCGTCCTGTTTGCCTGAGGACGGGACCGCATGGTCTCGAAACGTTGCTGAGGAGATGTGTGTTATCTCAGTCAATAAACAGCATTGACTTTAATATCATGGAGTGCGAGTGACTACTTTCATCTATCTACATTCGGCTGGCAGCCCACATGACCAGAGAGTGTAGACTGCAGGAAATGAATGGCATGGGTGGTAGTTTTGTCCTTTATGTGCCATCTGTATCTATGTACAGGTGATTTGTTGTACATACTTTACAAGCTCTTGATTCAGGTCTTTTAATAAAGGGCAGGAACTTAAAGCATCTGATGCCCATTTATCATGAAACAGAGGCACAAAAATTACTTTGGAATGGTACAAATGATGCTCTCCAATATGCTTATTCCATCTGCCTTTCCTCCAGCTTGTGTACATTTCTGTCACGTGTGAACAACGCCTGTTCTTTTGATGTGGCACAGCTGCACATGCAAAGTGTTGTCAGCCACCCCTCGTGGGCACAGCAACTTACTGCCAGAAGTGGTATCATATACAGGATACGCACCTATATGGTAAAATGCTACATGATCCAAAATGTGTCTTGCTCCAGTAAACATAATAGACCCAACATTCTAGGCAGTCTAGCATCATTGAATGGTCAGGCTAATGAATGGAAATCCACACAAAGTGTTTTGTTTTCTTATTTTTTAATGAGGAGGGGTTAGAACCTCTATTGGGTTTTTTCCAGCTGTCTTAAGCTTGCCATACAATGTGTGGATTTCACTCAGGGGGTGGCCTGTCAGCATTCTACAATCAGAAGACTGAAAAATGTTTGGCCGAACAGCCAGCCATCATTTTTTGGGTATCTTGACAGCGGCAACGGGAGATACAAAAAAACTGATTGCTCCATTTACGCTGTTGAGCGCGGATGGAGGAATCGGTTATATTTTCCCTCAGCGCACAGCCTGAAGTTTAGAAAAAAAAAAAAGTGTATGGCCAGCTTAAGTTCCTAATGGGGAGACGCCCAAATAAACTGCACAGGAGAGGAGTGAAAATCTTAGGCAGCGACAAAACCCGACTTCAACCCCTCCTCCAGTCTACTAAAAAGAAAAAGTGTTTTTCCACATAGTTCTCTTAAAGGTCACGTGAGGACATATACTAACCTCCTCCCGTGACCCAAATCTCAGTATATTGTGAGCTACAGATCGCAGTATACTGAGACCACCGGTAGCCGGGGTTGATCCTGACAATGCTGTCGAGATCCACCCAGCTGCGTGATTGACAGCTGGCTCTGCCTATCTAGAGGCAGAGCCAGCTCTACCCGCCCCCTCCCCCGTCCGTTCCTCCAGTCAGCTTGTAACGGTGACTACATTACCACACACACAGGAACCATGCGGAACAAAAGTAGCCACCCTCCAGAAGGAAGGACAGTGTCAGCACCAATTCAGAGATGATTTGAGGATCTACAGCCGAGTGATGCACAAATAAGATACAATTTTGTTAATAGTTAAAAGGTATTTGATGTATTTTTAAGATTTAACCGCTGAGCTTAGTGTCAAAACCGAAACGAAAAAAAAAAAAATTGTCAGGCCGAAACCGAAAATGTTTTTTATTTTAACTTTATTATTATTATTAAATATTTTTTACTTTTAGGGGCTTATGGGAAATATTGGGGTCTAAACAGACCCCTGATATTTCCCTTTTAAAATAGAAAAAGAGATTGAGAACACAGAGTCCTCAATCTCTTTTTCTGCAGCCCCTGTTATGAATGAACAGGAATCCTCTATACTGAGTAAACTCCTGAGCTTTAACTCAGCATTGGGGATTGCTGAGGCGAGGAGGTTACACCCTGTTCATTCATAACATGAGAACAGAGTATGTTTACTATAACCACAAATCATGAATGAAAAGGAGGTCATGTAGATCACTTCCCATTCATTCATAATTGAGGATATAAGTCAACACACCATGTCCTTAATCATCTACACTCAGCGATCACAGAGAGTTTGTACTCTGGTCTGCATCCTGACAGCTGTCACAGGAGGCTGAGCAAGGAGAGCTCAGCCCCGTGACAGCTCTGAGAGCTGTCTCCGCCCACACTTCTCTCCTGATCTGTGACAGGAGAGACGCCGGCCGCGCACAGTGCTCTGCCGCACAGTGGCAGTGTCTCCCCTCCCCGCTGGGTCACAGAGCAGCGCCCACTGGGGAGGAGAGAAAGAATGGATGCACCGCTGCATCGGCCAGAGAATCAGCATTTTGCCAAAAGTGACATTTTCGGCTGATATGTTTCGGCGGCCGACATATCGGTGCATCCCTAATAAAAAAATCATACCCTGATCTCTGCGTTTCTGGCGCTGCAGGGATGACAGCAGCAGCTGACTATGAAGGGCTCCAGTCATCTACTCACCCCTTCCTCTCTTTTCGCCCACTGACAAAAAGCCTTGTAAGACCAGGCATTCTGTAAATGGATGAGGAGCGGTTGTACGGCTGAATCTCCTCGCCTCCATTTACAGAAGGCCTCGCACTCAAAAATACAAGGCTACTTGTGAATGGACAACAAGAGAGAGGATGGGGCAAGTATACAAATGGATACCTTTACTGTCAGAACTGTTGTTCTCATAGCGGCAGCTATACAGCACTCTGGAGGATCGGACTTTGCGTACGGTATGATTTTTTTGTACCAAGCAGCAGATGTCCGATTCTACTATACTTATTGTTAGGGGTAACTTATTCAACTAGTGCTGTTTCTACCATAAAAATGTTTCCCGCAGTACAGCTTTAAAGAAGAACTCCAAATCAAAATTTGTCTCAACCTTTGCAGTGGGGGAGATGAGCTCTCCAATGCGAACATACACATAGCAGTAAACCCCTCGCTGCCATCAAAAACAAAATGTTTATAATGCAAACCAACACGCTCACCTCATGTGATACCCCCTGATCAGATGCCAACTTCCGGAACACTGCTTCGGCTATTGGAGACCGACAAATGTTACCTAAGGAGAAATGAACAATGTCAGCACTGTCATAGCATGATAATAAAACACAGTTTAGGAATATAAACCGAGGACCCGTCTATTTGTAGTCATGTCAGTGAGCACTGCATACGAGTACTCCTGATTTTCACAAGCAGTTAGTATTTGCAGTTCTCCCATTGTCTACAAAGCTGGCCGTGAAAAATATAACCAATTCCTCCATCTACACTAAACAGTGCTGAAGGACAAATCTCCTGCTGGGTCCTTTGTATTCAGACAGCGGCATGTAAACAGGTTAAAGAAATGTAACTGCCCAGCAACAGTAAAAGTAAAGCAGATTTAACTGTAATCATACAAAATCTTCAGCACTACTAGCCACCGCAGAAACCACTCAATCCAGGGTGATATGTAGGGATGCACCTATACCGAGTATTTGGGCGAGTACTCATACTTGCCCAAATGCTCTGATACTTACCTCTGATACTGAAACTTCTGGTCAGAGAGAGAACTCCCTCTGACTGGCAGTGCCGAGGGAGCTTGGAGCTGGCCTCCTTTCCAATCAGGTAGCCGTGTGTTGGGTTATGACCCGCCGCCCTGATTGGCTAGGGAGCCAGCTTCACTTGTTGCTATGCAGCCTGGCGGCACATAATGACCCGCCTCTCTGATTGGTCAGGAAGCCAGGCTCCTAGGAACAAGTGAAGCCGACTTCCTAGCCAATCAGGAAACGGGATGCCCGACTTCCTGATTGGCTAGGAAGCCAGCTTCACTTGTTGCCAGGCAGCCTGGCTTGCGGACCATTAAGGAAGCTGAACGATCTCATGACTCACTGCCTGGCTTCCTGATTGGTCAGGAAGCCTCGGCAAGTGAAGCAGATGTTCTTTTGCTATAGAACACCGGCTTCACAGGCAATCAGGAAGCTGGGCGACGGGTCATGATCCACCACCCGACTTCCTGATTATTGGGGCACACGGCGATACCGGAAAAAAAACAATATTGATACCAGGGACGTGCGGGCAAGGGAGGCCGAGCCTCACCTAGAATTATAGAGAAAAAAAGCTGTCACTAGCTTGGGGACAGGGTGTTCTATCACAGATTGTGACTGTGCGACCTTTGACATGATCACACATACTAATGTAATCACCCCCATTTTTTCGGCGGTGGAATGTGTGACCAGTCACACATTCTAACATAGCCTCGCCCATTTTCCCCCGGGGTAAAAATATGTGACCGGCAAAAGGTGTAGTATTCAAAGCTTTCTCTGCTGTTCCCAGGCAGATCGGCCTCGCACATGGTATGTGCAGGAGAACTGATCTGCCCTGGAACAGCTGATCGGTCCTGAAATCTCACTTCTATCCGACATGCACTCACAAAGTCGGATAGAAGTGACATTTCAGGACTGATCAGCTGTTCCAGGGCAGATCAGTTCTCCTGCACATACCATCTGTGATGCCGATCTGCCTGGGAACAGCGGAGAAAGCTTTGAATTCTACACCTTTTCCTTGTCACACATTTTTACCCCGGGAAAAAATGGGCGCGACAACTTTGGAATGTGTGACCACTGTGATAGAACAAGGGCTTCGTCCGGCAGGGGGCAGGGCTGGGGAATGCCTCACCCGTAGCAAGAGGTACCACACGTCGTTTATTGATACCAAACAACCGGTATTAGTTCATGCCTAGTAATATGACCAACCTCTTCACCAGGGATGGCAGCCCTCCAGTATGGGACCTCCCCCACAGAACTTTAATTACATAAAATCATCCCTATACTCACATTATACCTAAAATCAAATGCATCCATAGACCGCATCAGTACACTTTCCCAATATGGAAGCCGAAGGAAAACCTGATAGAGAGCCAGTTCACATACTGCAGCTGTTCAGGCTTGCAGACTGGTTAACCAAAACAGCCTAAGCAGTATGTGAACTGGCTCACCATCAGGGTTTCCTTCTGGCTTTCATATTGGGAAAGTGTACTGATACGGTCTATGGATGCATGTGATTTTCAGCATAATGGAAGTATAGGGATGTTTTCATTGTAGAATATCACAAGAGGGAAAGTCATGTGACATGATGTAACACTTGCCTTCAGTCTGGTGCTGTTCCCTCCAGAATGTTTACTCATCCACATGCATTGTACGCCCCTGTACATGAGCCCATAGAGATACTGACACTGCACTACACATGTCAGCTGACTGGTCGCCATTGGTTACCACCTTCAGCAGCCCCGCACCAGAGAGTGGGAGGACACGTGCTTCCCCCCCTCCCCTCCCCTCCATATCACAGGCCAAGAGCCGCTCACCTAGGCACACGAACAGAACAGACTTGTCCCCGGCAGCCGCCATGACTTTTCACACCGCCGACTACTCTCCGTCTCGGTACCGCGTCTGCTCTCAGAGCGCACCGGAGGGCGGAAGTGCGTCACACTTTACGGCACTTAGGCGACATGCCGATCGTCTGTCTGAGGAGACACGTGACCGAGCCGGCTCCCCCCTCCACCTCACCTGGCTGCAGGTTGCGGTGTATGAGGAAGCAGCACTGACTGTGTGTTCTGCCAGGAGGGGAGTGCGGCTCTACGAGTGAGTACCGGCGGTCTGCCCTGCCAGGGAGGGCTGGGACTGCATGAGGCACCACAGGGGGTACAGTGCCCAGGGGGTGGAGGGTGGTCACAGCATGGGCCTGAGTGTAAACAGAAGTCTCGCCAGTCTACATGGTGATGTCATTATTATTATTATTGTGTCACTGATAGATTGGATAGGGCTGTACAAGTGTACCTGTCATTTCCCATCAGTCACTGCTTCAGTGGGTGATACAGTCTGATGTGTCTAGCACACTGCCATACATAAACAAACCTGTTTAGGGCCAATTTTGGAAAGAAGCATTTTAATACATTCCTGCAATGTTAACCACTTGCTGACCAGGTGTTTACACCCCCTTCCTGGTCAGGCCATTTTTCAGTATTTAGCGCTGCGGTACTTTGACTAACATTTATTCCCTCATGCAACTCTGTACTGAAATACATTTTATACAATTTGTGGGGGACAGATAGAGCTTTCTTTTGGTGATATTTAATTATTTAATTTAAATTTTATTTTTTACTATATAACAAAAAAAGTACCGAATATTTAAAAGAAAAATGGTTTTCCCTTTATTATTTTAGGAAAAATGTAATTTTTACCCAATTTTTTGGTAAAATATAAAAGGCGGGGTCACGTTGGGTAAATGGACACCAAACATGTCAAGCCTTAAAATAGCGTGCGCCCGCGAAATCGCAAAAAAACACCATAGCCAAAATTGGCCATAGGCGACGCTTTAAAAGATTTTACCGCTCATCAGTTTAGTGTGATCAGTGATTAATGGCCCGATAATTATTGCTCTCATTGCGACGTTCGCGGCTATATGTAACGTGTGGAATTTTTTTTTTTTTTACACTTAACTTTATTGTTATCACAAAGGGTGCTAAGAAATCCCATATGTAATAACCAATTACAGTGACAGGTCCCCTTTATGGAGACATCAGGGGTCTCTAAAACCCCTAATGTCACCTAGGGACCCCCAGAGAAGCTGATGAAGCACAGATCTGCTTCATCAGCTTCTCTCCGGTTTCTGTACCGGAGAGGGAGAGAGGAATGCGGAAGTGATGTAATATACATTCCTGCATTCGGAGACCGAGAGGATAGCGGAGGGAGATCGCATACTGTTCTCCCTCTGTTCTCAGTGCACAGAGCCACATCGCCCGGGATGGATGGACGCCCGGGATTATGGGGACGGTGACGAGAGGTAAGGGGGGGTCGGCCATCGCTAGCCGCTTAAAATCCAGGCGGTTTCCCGCTCGTGAGAGCGGGCACGAAGAACGTCTAAAGACGCCCACCCGCATCCAGGAGACTCCCGTCCGGCCGTCTTTCAACGTTTGGCGGATGGTAGGTGGTTAAAGAGTAACTGAAGGCATAATGTCTATTTCTAGATTGGATTAGACTGCTGAGGGGTGACACCCCATCATGTTATTATTGCTGTCTTGGTCCCCGTTCAGACGGTCATCATAGACATTTCCTGCTGAAAATTGGATCTGTGGGCGACCCTTCGGCACTGAGCCTTGGCCACCCCCGGCTCCACAAAGTGGATCTTTCAATTGGCTTTTATGGGGGGACCCGGGTGGAAAATTGTCGGCCGATCAGTGACTGCAGCCAATCAGCTGATCCTGAATGAGAGCGGCTCCATGATATTACTTTCTGAACAGAAGGCAGGTTTTGGTCCTCAATAGTTTCGGGGGACCAGACTCTGGTCCGTAGGATTAGAAAATGCCAAAGGGTCCACGGTCAGCGAGAGAAAAATGTCCTCCAGAACTGTTGGTGAGAGGGAGTTCACAATGACCTGGTCTCAGGCAGTGAGGGATAGAATTACTGGTAGCATGACTGAACAAAAACTGTCCACAATACTTACTGACTCTCACAATACATTTGTGAAAATCTGGGGGCCGCGGATTGCTTATGCTGGTCCATTTTGAAGTGTCCTTGGTCTTCTTTGTTGGCCTACCACTACACAGGCTATCCCTCCTTCAGTCTATCATGAATGCTGCTACTAGACTCATCCACCTGAACCGATCAGTGTCCACCGCCCCTCTCTGCCAATCCCTCCACTGGCTCACAATTGCCCAATGAATAAAATTCAAAATGCTAACAACCTACAAAGCCATCCACAACTCCGCCCTAACCTTCATCACCCACCTCATCTCAAAATATCACCCAAACCATCCTCTCCCTTTATCTCAAGACCTCCTGCTTTCCAGCTCTCTCATAACCTCCTCTCATGCTAGCCTCCATGACTTCTCCAGAGTGTCTCCCATCCCCTGGAAATCCTTATGCCAATCTGTCCACTTATCTCCTACTCTGTCCACCTTTAGGCGATCCTTAAAAACCTCATCTCTTCAGGGAAGCCCATCCCACCTCAACATAATAATTGTCCTTTTACTTCCACTAACTCAATCTAAACAATTATTACCTTTTACCTTTTATATCACTTGCCTCTTCTACTAGATTGTAAGCTCTCACGAGCAGGGCCCTCCTAACCCTATTGTACTGAAATTTTATTGTAACTGCACTGTCTCCCCTATTTTGTAAAGTGCTGCGCAAACTGTTGGCGTTCTATAAATCTTAAATCCTTTATAATAATAATGATCTAACTGGCCACCCCCTTTTTCTTGCTTGAGCCAGTGTTAACCAGTTTTGGGCCTTAGTTGGCTTGATCTCCCTACCCCCTTTTTTTTCTTTTTTATCTCTGTGTGTACTCCTTTCTATGGACCTCCCCAAGTCCATCCTTACTCCGATGTCCCTGTCTTGTAAATAGTTGTGTCTGGGAGGAATAGCGCACCATTGTTGGTGTCAGAAGTTGGAACAGTGCCCCATTGTTGGTGTCAGTGGGAGAAATAGTAATCCATCGGTTGAGAAATAGTGCCCCATCCTTGTCATTGGGAGGTCTAGTACCCCATTGTTGGTGCTAGTGGGAGGAATAGTGTGCTATCATTGGTGTCAGTGGGAGGAATAATACCCTATCATTAGAGTCAGTGAGAGTAATAATGTCCCATTGTTGGTGCCAGTGGGAGGAATAGTGCCCTTTCAGTGGGAGAAAAAATACCTAATTGTTGGAGTAAGTGGGAGGAATAGTGCCCCATGGTTGGTGTCAGTGGGAGCAATAGTGCCCCATGGTTGGTGACAGTGGGAGGAATAGTGCCCCATGGTTGGTGTCAGTGGGAGGAATAGTGCCCCATCGTTGGTGTCAGTGGGAGAATTAGTGCCCCATTGTTGGAGTCAGTGAGAGGAATAGTGCCCCATTGTTGCAGTTAGTGGGAGGAATAGTGCCCCATCGTTGGAATAAGTGGGAGGATTAATACCCCACTTTGGTATCGGAGGGATGAATAGTTTCCCAAAAGTGCTTGAGATTGCCATGATAACAGCTTGCATAATGCTAGCCATGTAAACCACAAATTTTAAGCAATCTTAACTACATTTAACCTGCTTTTGACTACAAAAACAAGCAAACAGGTTTTAGGAAACCCACCAACATCCCTGCTATATACAGCTGTATACAAGTTTGTTGTTACACTTACAGCTCATTGAAACAATGCTTCCTTCCACCTGAAAAGTGATGTAATCAAAGCAATTGTCTCATGTATTCCTGCATGGCTTTGCTATGTCATAGAGCAGTGGTGGCAAACCTTGGCACTCCAGCTGTTTTGGAGCTACAAGTCCCATGAGGCATTGCAAGGCTCTGACAGCCACAGACAGAACTCCCAGAGGCAGATGCATGTTGGGATTTGTAGTTTTGGAACAGCTGGAGTGCCAAGGTTCGCCACCACTGTCATAGAGTAAAGCAAAGAATGCGTGAAAAGAGATAAATTATTGCTTAGTCCACAAAGATGTCTGAAATGGCCTGGACAGATTCATTGTCACCTCAAGAAAAGATTATAAATTAAAGTGGGGAACCTTTCCCCTGTCTGTAACAATAGTAATAGCTCCCACAGAAGGGGGTTGAGCCAGAGCACTCGAAGGTCTGCTAGTCTTTGCGGAGAGGTTAATGGCTACAATTTCTGACTAAACTACCAACTTTCAGAAACCGCTGTTTTCTTTAATCCCCATCACACGTGTCTTCGATCTTATAACCAGTCAGTCAGCCTATATAAATAGAGAAAACTAGTCACTCTGTTGTTTGGTATCATCGTGTTTACCACACTGGACACGGACCAGAAAAAGCAAAGGAGATAGCTGTCTGAGGAGATCAAAAAGAAAATTCTAGACCAGCATGTCAAAGGTATAGGCCAAAGTTTCTACAAGCTTTTTTCACTCGCAGCACCCTTCAAAAAGTATGCAAAATCTCCAGCCACCCTAGTTTAAAATGTAAGTGGGGACGCCACACAAAAACACACACAAAAGTGAGGTTCTTCCCTTTGCATCAAAGTCCTCAAATCTGGAGCCCCCATTTCACATCAGAAATCTCCCTTTCACATCAAAGTCCCCCTTTACATAAGGAGCCCTCTTCAGATCAGAGTCCCCCATTCATATTGGAATTCCACCTTTTACATCAGAGTTCCCCCTTCACATCAGAGTCCTACCATCAGAAAATGTTAAGGCACCCCTAAGGAAGCCAGAAGGCACCCTGGTTGTGAAAGGCTTGTATAGGCTATAGGACCAGCTGCAAGCAGCTTTTTATGTTCATGTGACTACAATTGCAGATATTTAGATGTTTAAGATCCATGGTAGTGTAGCTCACCTCCTTGGGCATGGCCACAAACAGAAAACCAATCTAAGATTGTACAGACGTTTGGTGCAAATGGTAGACTAAGAGCCAAGGAACATTTGCAAAAAGTTAAAAGCTGAACTCCAAGGTTAGGGTACATCAGTCTGATCGCACCATCTATGGCTTTTTGAGGAACAGTTGACTCAAAGTTCGAAGACCCAGCAGGACTCCACTGTTTAAAGAAAAATGAAAAAGCCTGACTGGATTTTGCTAAAATGCACATTGACAAAGTACTCCTGGGGGAATGCCATTTGGACAGTTGAGACAAAACTGGAGCTTTTTGGCAAGT